GCTGAAGTGCATTGCTCAATACCTAAGCCCTGATAAAGAATATTATATAGTTTCCACAGGTCCCGATGACTCTGGACAATAGACTTGATAAACACCTCAAATTGTTACAATCAACATGGAATACTGGAATGTTTCTTTGAATAAATTAAAGGTCTGATGAGTGGGGCAGTAAGGATACAATGTGGAAACCTCTATTGCAATATACTTGGCATTAGTGTTTATTGATGTACAAAGTCCTTGTGAGTCTCCTAAAGAAATGTCTGTTCTTTCTTTTTAATGAAGGATTTTAAATGTATAACTATTTTAATAAAAATATACTTTCTTAATATACAACCTATGGTCTATTTGTAATGCATTTATGTAGCACCTGAAAAGTCCCAGCCTTTCAAACTATATAGTGTTTTGGTTAAGTCCTTTAGTTAAAAAAAAATGGTATTCCATTGTCAATCATGTTGTGCAGCAATGTAGATCCTTATTAGTCATGATGAACGAGAATGTAAACAAAGAGGCCAAGAGCTGTCTGACATCAAAGACCAAATATGGTCATAACTATATCTGGTCAATGGTGTCCCCTAGGTTGCCCTTGAGCTGTTGTTTTCTGTCAAAAATAGCATGTCCTGGATTTTCAGCTCAGGAATATAAAATTGGTTTAGTTCACGGCACCTATGCACTCTTCAGACTGATCTGCTGGTCTCATACAAATCTCCTTTTTAATAATATATCAACAGCAAATATAAAACACTATTTCAGTGACAAAATAAAAATAGTGACAATAACTTATTATTAACCACTTTCCCTTTGGAAGATTTATGCCCTTAATGACCAGGCCATTTTTTGTTATTCTGCACTGCTCTATTTCAACTGGTAATTGCGCAGTCATGCAATGATGTACCCAAACGAAATATATGTCCTTTTTTTCTCAGAGTTTTCTTATGGTGGTATTTGATCACCAATGGGTTTTTTATTTTTTTTTTTATACAAATGAAAAAAAAAAGGCTGAAAATGTTGAAAAAAAAACTATATTTTGTACTTTTGGTTACAAAAAAATTTCCAGTAAACTCAAAGTTAGTCATAAATTTAGGCCTAAATGTATTCTGCTACATGTCTTTGGTAAAAAAAAAATAATCCCAATACATGTATATTATTTGGTTTGTGTGAAAGTTATAGTGTCTACAAACTATGGTATACAGTGTATATTGGAATTTACGCAGATTTTACTTTCTCACTGCCTATTACATTTCTTGAGGTGCTAAAATGCCAGGGCAGTACAACCCCGACCCCCCCCCAAAATTACTCTTTTTTGGAAAGTAGACACTCCAAGGAATTTACTGAAAGGTATGTTTAGTCCATTGAACATATTATTTTTTGCCACAAATTTTTGGAAAATGACAATTTTTTTTTTTCTTTTTTTACACAAAGTTGTCACTTAAATTATATATTGCTCACGCACGCCATGGGTATATGCGGAATAACACCCCAAAACACATTCTGCTACTTCTCTCAAGTATGAGGATACCACATATGAGATACTTTTTGGCAGCCTAGCTACATACAGGCCCCCAAAATACAATGACCACCTCCAGGCTTTTAAAGGGCATATATTCTCATATCACTTCCCCACTACCTATCACACTTTCGGAGGCCCTAAAATGCCAGGATAGTACAAACACCCTCACAAATTACCCCTTTTTGGACATCCTAAGGAATCTGATAAGAGGCATAATGAGTATTTTGCAGATCTCATTTTTGTCACAGGGTTTTGAAAAAGAATAAAAGAAAAGAAAAAAATAAATTTTCTTTTTTTTTTCTTTGTTTTCCAAAAACGTGTGACAACAAATGAGATCTGCAAAATACTTACCATGCCCCTTAGCAAATACATTGGAGTGTCTGATTTCCAAAAAGGGGTAATTTGGGGGAGGGGGTGTCTTCTACTATCCTTCCTGCATTTCAGGGCCAACATTAGAAGCTTATGCCAGATATAACCCACTTTTCTAACCACTTGAAAACCAAGCCTTTTCTGACACTTTTTGTTTACTTTAAAAACAGGGTTCTTTTGCTAGAAAATTACTTTGAACCCCCAAACATTATATATTTTTTTGTATTAAATTTTTTTTTTAAAGCAGAGGCCCTAGAGAATTAAATGGTGGGTTTTGAAATTTTTTACATCACACAGAATTTGCGGAGCGATTTTTCTAATTTTTTGGAAAAAATGCTCACGTTAGCTGACCCTGTCTGGGAGGGGTGCTAACTGACCCTGATGCTATCTGATGTCGCTAGTGGCAGTAACACAGTGATCAGTGAAAAATTCTATATACTGACACTGTACTAATTGCACTGGCGGGGTGTCAAAGAGTTAATGTGCTAATCTAATGTGTGTATGTAAAATGTAGTGCCTTGTTCTTTCTTCTCTCCCTGGACAGCATAGGTGGCAGCGGGGGGTGCATGCATGCACACACATGCACGGAAATAGAAAGCGATGTAAGATAATGTCACTTTGTCCAGAGCCGCCTCTCACATGCACATTGTTGGTGGACGGGCAGCAAGTAGTTTAAAAAAAAATAATTTCTCTTAATAATGGTTTTAAAAAAAAATTTTTAAACATTATTTTTCTTTTTTTTTTACTATTTTTCAAAAATACTTTCATCAGAGTAATTTAATGTTACCATGTTAACCCTGGGGGGATGATCAGGGATTTTTTTTTTTTACACTTTGCATTGCAGCAGCAATGAAGATTATTGCTCTGCAACACAAAGCTTGCTTTGAACTGTCATGAATGTGTTAAGTTCATGACAGTTCAAAATAATAGTGATCTGTGATTGGCTCCAGCTTGTCACATGCTACAGGGTGCTGGGATTTTCCCCACGTAGCATGTGAGAGTTTTGGACCAATCACAGCTCTCCAGGAACAGAAAAAGCTTTTATGAATCAGATGGATTCATAAAAGCTTTATTGTTATTGTGATCATGTGATCACCAGGTCACATGATCACCGTGTCCTAATCACTGGGATTCTCATTCCTTTGTGTCCGGTGGACACAATGGACGTGGGGGGAGGGTTGTGTGCCCGCTCAGGTGCACAGTGCCCCCCTGTGTTGGCAAAAGACCATTAACGTACAGGTACATATTTGGTCCTTTAGCTGCCACCCGTCCACAGTGCATTGCAGGCAGGTGGCCTAAAAGTGGTTAATAATTACATCAGACCAATAAACAGTTTAAAAAATAAAAGTGTAGGTTGCTTTTCAGAATTTTATAAAATGCTGTTAAAGTACTATTTACATCAACTAAATGAAGGAAAATAGAATAAAACTTTGCTCTACACCAAGTATAATTGAGCTGGAATTGTTTTGTGTCACATTTAGAAAGTGTTGTCTCTGAGTTTCATATAGCTGATTGCTTAAAAACGATTTCCAGCTGTGTACTTCTGTTCTTTTGTTTGCTTCACTACCGCTCTGCCCTTAACAGGCCAAAAAATATTGGCTTTCAAGATGTTGAAAAAAATTAAACTCTTGCTGAAAACTTAATCAAGTTCCTACTAGAGCATGGTGGCAAAAAGCCAACCAATCAGTTATCTTTGCTAAAACACAGAGCCAGACACTCAGCTGGAAACACATTATAAATCCTTTTCCTTTTCTAGACATGATTCATGGTATAGCTTTCCTCTTCTCTTGATCAGTAACTCAGAGTTTTACACACATAAACATACACATACACATACACACACACTCTTTTAAGTTCTATAATACTAGCCTAAAATTGTGTAACAACGACTCTATATTTTAAAGTGGAGTTCTAGTTGAATGAAAAAAAAAAAAGTCAGCAGCTACAAAAACTGTAGCTGCTGAATTTTAAAATACAGACTCTTACCTGTCCCTTGGTCCAGCGGTGTCCTCACCAAGGCTGGTTTCACTGGCCGTCCTCTCTCCCGGCTCAAGCACTTCAGTGTAGGCACCTGGCTGTGACAGCTTGGGTGGCCACTGTGCATGCGCGAGTAGCACTGCGTTTTGTGAATGGTCCTGTAGTCTTCTGGGACCTGTCACGTGTCCCAGAAGACAACAGGGGGGGAAGACAACTTCTGCATCCGATCGCCTTAGGCGATCACACCGGAAGTGGGAGCGAGTACCTGTCAAATTTGGGTACCTACTACCCCCCCACTCCCCAAAGGTGCCAATCCTTAATAGGGAGTGGGGGACAAAGCCTTAAAGTGGAACTTTCGTTTTTGGGTGGAGCTCCACATTAACAAAAAAAGGTGTTATGAGCATTGGAATTGCAAATGCAAAAACTTGTAGGTTCTCATGACAGTTATTTTTGATGTGTCTTTTTAAGTATTGGTAATGTTTGGAATCTTCTTCATTCATTTTTGGTTGTCTGTACTAAACATTAAATGGCTGATTTATTTAAAGATCCGAGAATGTTCATTAATAAAAAAAAGTAAAAATCCACATCAGTTATCCGTTTGTTTATGTATTCCATCTGTTCATGGTTGGATATTAGAAGTAAATCTTCATCCATTCTGAGTGCACATTCTCAATTATTTCAGTATTATTGCCCCACAAAATTGCTAAGTTTTCAGTATTCCCTTTCTGATGTTGCATTCTTACCCAAAATTCACAATTTGTGCCTGCAAGATGATGTGTGCAATATTTCTATTAGTTGGGGTGGTGATGTGATTGCCTGTAGCTATAGCTGTGTCCACACTGACAATTCTAATAGAAAATATCCCTTCTAACACCACTACTTGTCCAAGCACTTAATTTTATCTGCGACAACACTCTGTGCCCGTCTATCTGTTGTCACCCTGTCAAAAAGGCACTTGGTGCAGATTATAAGTGGCTGTGGCAACACTAATTGTGCAGGCCTGTTCCACCATTATCATTAGAGATGAGCGAAGAAATGAAAAATTCGATTCGACTGATTCGGCGAATTCGTGGACAATATTCGATTCGAGTCGAATAAATTCGCTGTGAATTTAACTTAAAAAAGGGAAACCACCAGCAGTGTGAGGAGACCTGAAAGTGGCACATGGCAGAGTGTGGCGATAGAGACAGCAGCAATGGGGAGGCCGTACAGGGGACCCATGACACACTCTGGACCTGGCAGCAGCATGAGGAGGCGGTACAGGGGCCCATGACAGATTACGGGCCTGGCAGCAGCATGAGGAGTCGGTACAGGGGCCCATGGCAGATTACGGGCCTGGCATGCAGCAATGGGAGGCCGTACAGGGAACCCATGACACACTCTGGACCTGGCACAGCAGCATGGGAGGCGGTGGGTACAGGGGCCCATGACAGATTACGGGCCTGGCAGCAGCATGTAGGAAGTCGGTACGGGGGGCCCATGACACACTCTGGACCTGGCAGCAGCATGAGAGGGGAGGCGGTACAGGGGCGCATGACAGATTACGAGCCTGGCAGCCGCA